TCCGGGCTCCCAGGACTCCGAAACTGACTCCGGAGCCCTACTTCCCTTCCGTCACCTTCTCCTTGCCGACTCCCAAGAGGTTATCCCACCTCCAGCTCCGACACCACCTTCGGTCCGACTCCGGAACATTCCGGGTCCGACCTGAACCTTGACACCTTCCAGACAAGCATGCAACACCTACACTCCAGACTCCAGACCTCCACTCCGGAATCCCATTAATGTCTCCATCTCCGGAACCTCCAGTCTTAGCTCTGACCTCGGACTTTGACCCCACCTCTGCTTATACCCATTGTATTGGTTAGCTCATTCCATTTAATTATGTTTGCCAATATTCCGGAGTTTAACTTCCGAGTTCGGACTTTCCAGACTTACTTCAGGCCTTGCAACTATTGCATTGCTCCATTCAATTCCGCTATACTCCCTCATTCCTATTTGGGCTGCTGCTTCCTTTCTATTCAGTCAGCTAGCCATTCCCCACTCCCATCCTTCTTCCTTCCTCCTTGGGCCTTGGGCCTTCACTGTTATAAAAATGGGGCCTAATTGGCCCATTTCTATAGCATTCAGGTGCAGGAGAGGGCCATGACATTGAAATGGTGTTACAGTTAATATGGCAGAGGTTGTAACAATGAGGTTTACAGGACATTGACATTGTGTGTTTTTGGTGATAGTTGTTGGTTAAGTTGTTATTATTTACATATCACGTGACTTTGTACTGTACAGAGCCCATAAGAGGCTAGAAATGGGAAATTCCCATTTCCATAACATTCACTCCTCCATTGGGAAACACCATTGAGTCAAACCCTTGACCCTCGGTGTTGTTCCTCCTTCCAGCTCCCTTGCTTTCAGAGACCCTTGCTCCTTTTGATTCCGGACCCCTCCTTATATACAATGTACATAGTAACTTGTAACCTCAGTCCAAAATCAACTTGATTTCCCCCCAAGAGACTTCCCTTTGCTAGATCCGAAATTAGGGACCCCCAGGACAACCAGCAATGGCACAGCACTCCACCTGAGTCACTGAGGCTGAGGTCCTTCCATGCTAAATCTCCAATTCCATTCCGGAGTTGTCCAAATCTGCTCAATCTAACAGTATTTAACATTGCGGTATTTCTTTGTCACGTTCAACGTGGCAGAGGCTTTGATGAAAGTTCTCATCAGTATGTTGGGAACTTCGAGGAACATGCCCTCATCTCCTCTGAGGAGAGTTTCATCTCGGAGTCTTATTCTGAGGCTGAACACAGGTCCCCCTAATCCACAAATCAAGCAGTCCAAATGGACTTCATCGAATTGGGGGCCTTTGCATCCTTGCGAGCCAAGGAATCCCAGTAGTTCTGTGAACCACTGCCAGAACGACTCCATGTCGTTCTCCCCTGACCATTTCTTGGCTGATTGTTCAGCACTTATGCATTTATCATGCAAGTCGATCACCTCCTCTGGAGGTGAGAGACCTTCCCCAACTTGGGTGAGATCAATGTGATGTGGAGTTCTAGGGGTATTGGGCCCCACACTTACTCCATGTAAGTTTTTAAAACCCTCAGGGACCAGCCCTGAAGTGGTTGTTTTTTCTGGATCATGTTGATCCTTGTTGTCATCTGACAATGGCTGTTGTTTTGAATCTCCCATAATGGGAGATTGCAGTTTCTTTATAAACTGCTCATTCTTCTTTATCATTGCTGCAGAAGCAACCTTGTCCTTGTGGGCATGTTTTGGCACCATTGGTGCTACTGAGTCAGATTGTTAAGATGTTGTAATAAAGTTGTGTGGGCTGTGTTTTGTAAAACACACCTCATACACTTAAAAAAGTGAGGTCTCAGTGGGGTTGCTCAGCACACAAGGCTGTAAGTGATATGATGGTATGTATTACATGTCAGGGCACACACCCTGACTAGCCCGCACCTGCACCTGCACCCACATGTGCGCTTCTGCCCCATGCACCACATGCTCCATGTTACAGGAATGGGTTCTGGGGAACCCAACCTGAGCCGTTCAGCTCACTAATGGAGGTGGCTGCATAGCCATTGGAGGGAGAGCAGAATAGGATGAGGGTATGGGAGTACAACCTGTGTGTCGGCCAACAGTAACTTGGCGCTCCTGGGAGCATACCAGTAGCGAGTATGATGTGGGCTCCTTGAGGGAGCCACCTGGCTGTCTGCTAACAGGGACTTGGCGCTCCTGGGAGCGTGCCGGTAGTGGGTGTGCTGGGAGTGTCTGGCTAGCAGTGACTTGGTGCTCAATGGAGCGTACCGGTAGTGAGGGATACTGGGACTCCCAAAGGGAGTCACCCAGTTGGTGGCTATCGGTGACTTGGCACTCATGGGAGCGTACTGGTAGCGGGAGTTGTTGGGGAAAGCGGGCTGGTGGACCAGTGCACAGTAGTGGGTGACCGTGGGAAGTGGGACCCGTGGGTGCGTGGCCAGGCATCCTGGAGCTGCCTGGACCGTATCCTTCTCCTGAGGAGGTGGGATAGGCTACAGTTCCTGATAGGGAACTTCTGGTTGGATGGGAGTAACCACTCGACCACCCAGTGGACTGGTGGGAGCAGACAGCAGGAGGTTGGGCATGGGAATGCCCTCCTCGTTGCGGTTTTGTCATGGAGAGGAGGAATAGGGAGGTGGACATGGTTCCAGGGTTACAGGTTGAGTTTACAGTGGTGACACAATGGTGAGGATGTTACAATCGTGGTACAAGGTTTGTGGGTTATGTATTTGATAATGAGAAAACATCTCGGCAATTACCATACATGTCATATGACTTGTATCTATCTAATACAAATGTTATAATGGCCAAAGGAAGTCCCTTGGAAATCAACAAATCCCCCAGCCAGCACCAAAACCCAGTGGGAAAGCTTGGCATGGGGTTTGGCAGAGAATGAAGTGAGAGGTAAGAAATATCTTACCTGTGTGCCTGGTCTATAGGAGTCTAGGCCCATTTCCATAGCAAAGGGCCTCAAGGTCTGGTTGCCTGTCACGGACCATAAGATTCTCCATTTCCATAACACTCCGGGCCCAGTTGCTATCCTTCATGTGACTTCCAGGTATCCCCGGAAGTTTTCACCATATTGGGCCACTGTGGGAAAGTGAGAAGTTAACCTTCTTCTCACTTTCTTACCCACAGTAGGCAAGTGTACATTAGGGGTGTTCACAGTAGCGAAAAGTACAAGAAAAGACGCCCACAAGAGTTGCCAAAAGTTGGACTTTCCTAGCGACTTTTGAGCTTGACTTTTGACCTCTTTTGATCCACTTTTGAGGTCATTCACAGTTGCATGCAAAAAAAGTGTGTCAAAACAGCCTCTCCAGTCACAAAGGATTTGAATGGATTACATAATGTTCACTCTGCATGCCTATTCTTAGTGAACGTGAGCACTTAATCTGTGCTGCTCTCAAGCATGCATCCAGCCTCCAAGCCCAGTACTGACATCAACGATGCAGTTTTCTCCACAACCTTCACTCTATCGATGAGCTGAGTGATCTATCCATTTCCAATTTTGACACTAATGACGACTCCGAGTCCGAAACCTCATCTGACACTGATAGCACAAGTACAAGTTCCAGCAGCAGCAGCAGTAGCACCTCATCCTCCGAGTCCACTGGTAGCACTATAGAATCGCTATCTCATTCATCTATCCTTTCATCCCACTCAACCTATGAAGACCTTGTTGAAACCTACACAAGGCTCCGTCACTCCCATGTTCAAGCCATCCGACGTGTCTGGCAGTTTCTTTACAATGTTGTTACCACTAGAGTCCTCTTCCTGCATTCAGTTCCCAAGTGCAGCCAGCTTTCCTTTGTACTTCAGTGTTACAAAGAGGATGATGCATGGCGCTTCCGCCACAACCTACATGTTTCACCTCATTCCTTTGATGTTCTTCTATCTCTTATCCAAGAACATCCAATATTTTACAACAGCTCTAATGTGGAACAAGCCCCCATATCACACCAGCTCACGATAACTCTTTACCGCTTTGGTAAATTTGGGAACAGTGTATCAGTTGAAGCTGTTGCGCAATGGGCAGGCTGCAGTTCTGGAGCAGTCATTAATTCTACAAGACGGATAATTGCGGCATTCCTCCCTCTTCATGACCAAGCAATCCACTGGCCAAGTGCATCGGAGAAGTGGGAAGCTTCTGATTGGGTGGAACGAGTCTCATGCCCCGCTTGGAGACCAGGATTTTGTATGGTGGATGGCACACTAATACCACTCCATGCAAAGCCAGGACATTATGAACAATTCTTTGACCGCAAATCCAATTACTCCCTTAGCCTAACGGTATGCCATTCCATTTTCATGAAGCTTTGACTCATCTGCTTTTAGTTAGTGACACTTCCAAATCTACACATAATTGACTATGTTCTTGGCCCACCAGGGAGTGTCCATGACTCCACGGCCTTTAAAGAGTCGTGTGCTTATAAGGAATCTGACCAATTGTTCCGAGATGGTGAGTGGCTATGGGGGGACTCTGCTTATGGTTTGACACCATGGTGCATGGTACCATACAAGAAGCCACAATCTCTTATACCAGCTAACCGACAGTTCAACTACCATCTTTCTGCTGTAAGTCTAAATATTCAACTGATCCTCCCCTAGTGACTGATAATTGTCAATTCAGGTCCGTATCCGGTCAGAGCATGCAGTAGGTTTCCTTAAAGGCCGATTCCAATCTTTTCAGGGGCTCTGTCAACAAATCAATAGTGTGTGCGACTACAAACTTGCTCTTGAATGGGTCCGTGCCTGCCTTATCATTCACTCATTGGTAGCACATGAAGAGAACTTTGAGTCTGATGAGGATTTCTTGTGGTGGGTTGAAGATGGGTTGCATGGTCTTGATGAGAGGGAAGATGATGAAGAAGTTGAAGGGTTTATTTGGGTGCCAACAGAACTGCAGATAGCAGGAGAAACAGAAGGTCAGCGGAAGCGCCGACATGTTCAAGAGGCTTTATTTTATCAGGTGTATGGACAACACTGAAAGCCATAGTACTAAATAGAAAAAAAAGAGTGTGCAACTAGAATTGATTAGGTGCCAAGTCAAGTCCAAGGAGGTTTTCGCCAAGGTCTATTTGTGGTGTGGCAAGTAACGTTGGGGGTGTGAGTGGAAATCCAGTTGGCATGAAAGGGTTCCGCTGTGCCTCTTGCAACTCCAACTGCTGCTGTGCCTGGTGCACATCCAATTGCTGCTGTTGCTGCAGCTCTAGTTGGCAGATTTGTAACTTGAGCATTCTGCATTCATGCTTATTTGCCTCACGCTGTCTATGTGTAGCAATGCATGTCATGTATTCTGCATGCTGCTGGTTTGACTCTCGCTCTGTGAGTTCAGACTCAAATTTGCTTGCTTCATGGAAATCAGCGAGTGAGTCTCGCTTTACCTTGATACCCCATGCCATGGTATGGGCTGAAGATGTGCCTGGTGTCATAGATCTTGAGGTTGGTGTAATAGGAGCGGGGAGCTGCAAGTGCTGGGGTGCAAACTGTTAGAACTGGGCGAGGGCGGACGATTCCAGAGGGGAACCGGAGACTTAGCAAGGAGGGGCCTTGGCCTCAGCGACTCAAGTGGAGCACTGTGCCATTGCTGTTTGTCCATTTGGTCCTTAATTTCACAGTAGGTGAGCAGGAAGTCTCTAGGGGGCATTTCAGGTCGATTTTAGACTAAGTGTCAGGAACGTGCCAGATGCGTATCCGGGTGACCCACAAGGCACGCGAAGTCATCCAGACTCGTAAGGTCGGAGGGGCGGGACTTTAGCTTCAGCGACTCAGGTGGAGCGCTGTGCTTCGTTCTTACGTTGGTGTCCCAATTTCAGACAGGAGCCTTACAATGAAGAGAGGAGTCTAGAGGGGGAATCCAAGTCGATATACGAACTGAGGTACATCTGGTGTAACCTACACATGTTATAAACACAAGTAACTAAATGAGACCGGCCCGGAAGGAGTGGCGGATCAAGTGCGATATTAATGATAATGAATGAAGAAAGGAACAAATAGTTAATATCGGCAAACTTGGTCAACAAAAGGCAAGCAAGGAACAAAAGGAAGAACAATAATCTGCAAGCGGACAAAAGAGAAAGGACCATCTGGCCATCTAGCAAGCCGTCTGGCTGGTGAGCGGACAACAACAAGCGGGCAACCTAGGTTGGAAGGTACGCACGCAGGGGAGGAAGTGCGGATGAGGGTGACAGGTGGACAGATGGATGGACGGATGATGATGATAGCGGGCAGGATGGGACAAGTGCACTAGGACGTGTTGACGGGAGTGACGGATATGTCGGGTCGTGACACTAAGGGCTAAAATGAGTATGTACAAGTGCCAATATATATAATGGAGGGGGCGAAAGCACAAGGAAACAAAGGGGATCCGAATCAGAACAAAGGCGTCCGAATGGGAACAAAGGGATGACAGAAGTGGAGCGGTACCGAAGGTCATAAGGCAGAACCTGTGATAGGTCCAAAAGGAGGTAAGGAGGGTGAGGCCCAGAGGGGCAGGAGGATGAGGAGAAGTGGGGATGATGACTAACTGGCTAGAATGGGAAGAAGCAGCAGTCCAAATAGGGATGAGGGGAAAACGTGAGAGATACATTACAAGTGGTGAAAGTGCTGAAGATGGTCCGTGAAGCTCGGAGGTTGTGGAGCTTACAGAGGTTATGGAGGCGGGGTTGAAAGTCCAAGGAATATTGGCAATGGTGTTTACGTAGTATGAGGTCACCAATGCAATGGACTAAGACTGAGGTGGAGTCAAAGTCCGAGGTAGGAACTATGACGGAGGCTCGGAGCAAAGGTACGAGCAGTGCCCAAGTACGAAGTACGGGACAGCGGTGGAAGGTCGTAACTTGGTGGGAGGTCAGCGGAAGAGCACCAGAGGAAAGAGAGAGGAGAAAGGGAAGAGGGAAGGAGTGGTGGAAAGGAGAGTTGTCAGGTCTGAAGGTGAGTATCGGAGCGGATGGGAGAAGCGGAGGAGGATGATGGAAGGGTGGAGGTGTTGTGAGGAAGGAGCAGAGGAGTAGGAGGAGGAGTAGGAGGAGGAGTAGTAGTAGGAGGGTGGTGAGAGGGGTGGTGTTCGGTCCGAGGTGAGTATCAGAGCAGATGGAGATAGGGGAGGAGAGGGACGGAGGAGTGGTGGTGGCATGGGAGGTGGGAGGAGGTGTGGTGCCAGGACTGAAGGTGAATATTGGAATGGACAGCGGTAGGGTAGGACTCCGGAGGTGGTGAAGAAGGAGTTCTGGGAGTCGGGTCGGGATTGGGTATGCACGGATATGACACAAACCTTGGGTCAACCTTAGGTTTGGTGTCAACACTCTGCAGCTGCTCATCAAGTAAGGTAGTATGGGGTGATGGAAGTGGGGAAGGGGAAGATGAAATCGGGAGTAGCGACACACTATTTTAATATCTTGGAGTCAGTAACTACTAACCGGTTTCATCCTTCCTTTACATACCAAGTCCATGCCATCTTCCAACACCTCAGCCAGAGTTGCATCCTGAGACTCCAGTACATTTGTATCCATAGTAGGCGAGGCTGAAGAAAGGTTTTCGGACCCTTGGGCTTGTCCCACAGTTGAATTTGAGATCAAGTCAATGGAATGTTTTGGAAGTGTGGACCAAATTCCATCCAAATCATCAAACCAAGGAACTTCGAGTATATCTCCGCTAATATTTAGGAATATTAGTGCATGAACATATGAGGAAATTTCTACATACCCATTTTATTTGCGTGGATTTCTTCAATTTCCTCATCTGTCTTAACACCCTGACCTGTTTCCTTCAGGAACTTAAGGTACTTGTTGTACTGTGTTTCAAGCCTGTCGGATGAAGGTTGATGATTGAATTTGTGTGCTCAAAATACAACGCACCAACTGATCCGCCCTTGAATTGCAGTGGTATAGTGGGCTAAGTCCTTGATGTAAAAAGCATGTTCAGGCTCGTCATCCCGATCCCAAATAGACTTGGCAATGATAGCCCAGTAGTCCTTCTTCTTCTCACCAGTAGAAACCTAAAAAAAACGAATCAAGTAAAAGTATGGACACCAAACTGGAACATAAATCAGTCAGACCCTTGACCGGCTCTCTGCCTTCGCTGTCTGGGAAGAATCTCCACATAGTTTGAGATGCACAGACGGGTTTTCAAGCAAGTAGGATACCAGCCGATCCATCCATGCAGGGTTGGCAAGCCACTGGATGCGGCGTGTGGTGGGGGTACTGATCTCCTCAGTTTTTGGACCAGTAGACTGGTTAGCACGCTTATTTGGTGTGGGTACCACTGTTGAAGGAGCTGCATGCTTGCGTTGCATTGCAGCTACCCAATCAGGTGAGGAAGAAACTGTACAGTATAGGATAGTAGTACATGTGACTCAGCACGGGGCTTAAGGCCGAGTTTTGGAACCTGTTTTTAAACCAGTTTTGGCGCTCTTGCAGCCCCAGAGCCCCAAGACAAAAGTGAGTCTTGTGACTGACTTGTCACAAGTTGGTGAGTCTTGCAGCTGACTTGTGACTTCGTCTTTTGATTAACTTTTGGCTGACTTGTGGTACTGTGAACGCCCCTATTACTTGCCTTTATCTTATATCACTTTCTTACCCACAGTAGTCATGCCCTGAGATGGGCTGTGTTTACAGGCTGGACTGTGGACTGTAGAGAGGGGTCATGGGGACCCAGGGTTCGTCCCCTGACACTACAGTGTGTGTAAGCAGTTGACAGAGGTTCCCACTTACCCACGTGACTTTATGTACATCGTAATTACATATGGCTCAGGGTTCAGGGCTATTGCCCTGACATACCTGAATCCCTACATTTTGGGCTGGGATTCTAAGATTGATGAGCTTCGCATTTACATACTGAGGGAGTCGACACTGACCTTGAACTCTCATAGGTTTCTCTCCTCACATCTTTACCTGGTGATCAAACACATCAATGCCACTTCAAGCAGATTGCTCAGTGGCAATGTTTGCTTTCTCTTAAATAATGCACAGTCTCACCACAAGGCATTGACCATGTGTAAAGAGCTAATTTTTGGACCCCTCTCCCCTCAGTTCTCTTCTGAGGCAAGAGTATATGCACTTGTCATTGTCTTGACCTATGTACTTAAACACGAGATATATTTTTTATTCTTTGTATTCCATCCTATGTTTGGATTTACACTAGACTGTAGCTATTATGCCATAGAATGTCAAACTGCACTGTTCACGTAACACAATAACATCAAAGCATGAAAAAAAAACAGCCCCAGCACAACCTCAATGCTTCATCAAACACAGGTATATTGTTTAAATGTGTCATATCCCGGATCTTCCACCTCCTTCCATCCTATCACTACATGACTCCTATGACCTCCACCAGTCCTCCCAATCTCTCTCTGCTGCCTCTGGTCGACGCCAACGACCCAAGGACTACCTCCTCCTCTGACTCTCTCCTGCTCTGCTACTCATCTATGTCTGCATCACCTCCAGACCTCCACCACCATACCTCCACCTCCTCAGACACCTTGTTCAAAGGAGTTGGGCTTGCTCGTTGTTGATAAATCTCAACTTGCCTATTCACCCTCCTTCCAACCTCCAGTCTCTGCATGTAAGGGGTTGGTGTAGGTTCCAACCCCAGTTCTCCTCAATCCTCAGGTCATCAATAAAGTTGAGCTTTAATTATCAACAATGGAGAGGAAAAGGAGTTCTGTTCCTTTTCCCAAATTCCCACGTTATTGTATATACATTGTTTATACATGTTTAAATCGAGACAAATATACAATAAGATAATGAATAAAGGGTGGGGTTACCACTCCTTACACTGCACCTCCGGTACCTCCTTATTCCTATTACCTCCAGTCTTGATAATCTTATTGTTTTATCATTTGATATTTTCTACAACCCCAATCTTCCAGACTACAACTTCCGGGCTCCGGACTTTCCTGGATGCCTTTTCTCTGTAGTTCCCTGCTTGTTCATAGACGTTTCTAGGCCTTTCCATTCAGTTGGCTTGTAATTCTCTCACTCCACAAACCTCAGATGTAATTCAGGCTTTTCGCCTATTCCTTATTTGTCTTGAGGATTCTTTCCATTTACTTCCCCTTCCTGTTGGTAACCCTTGTTTACCTTTGGATCTGTCAGCGGCGAACCAATGCCGATAGGCAAATCTGCCGACCTGAAACCCATCCTAACCAGCCCCCAACCCCATGTCTGGCCCCCTGCCTTACTGCATGAGACTTGGCTAATAATCAGAACCTAGACCCTGCCAGTATTCCAACCTTACCTCCAGTTCCTGAGCCCTTGGTGCTCCCGGCATTCAGTCATGCCTGCCTTGTCTCCATCTGAACCACACTCATCGCTTCCCGCTATGTGGTCACAGCCATGCCCCGCTTCCGTGCATTCCGCACCCTCTGCCCACTCTGCACCCTCTACCCATCTCTGCACCC